GGGGGGGGGGGGGGGGGGGGATATATGAATACCGGAAGTGCCGACCAAGTCGACAGTTGCGACACACTTCCTGCTCGACGCACTATGTGCACTCTGTACGTATATCGCAATACGGGACTCGCGACCTTATAATACCAATCGATAATAATTCAATGCATTCGAACACTTTCATCCTCCGACATGTACACGAATCGTCACTGGCATCTTAATGGCGGCACGAATATTTCTCCCATGTACTATATATTCATTTGCTATGCCATAGAGATTATACTTTCCTGGCCAACAACACCTCTAACGCCATTACACTCTTTGCTATTACGAAGAACGTCACGCGTATCCTCCATAGTGCACGTGATACCATACCGGTAGTGAAATTAAAATCTTACCGCGACTAGCCATTGAACGTATCGATATAAGGGAAACTAGTAGCGACAGTGTCTAACGGTAGTAAAATGGAAAAGAATTATCACTACTATATACCCGGTGCATACTATTTTTAAGCATGAATAAATAATACCTGCGAAAGCCACTACGCTAATACGCGGATAGCTTAAACAGAATGTTATGGTGGGCCGGTCTATAAACTCCGTGCACAGAGTGCACGAGCTTTAATAATAATGCAGTCATCAGCCTCGTGCACGTCCCCACGAGATTTCTACACACACTGTACCTACGCCAATGATAGCATATCAATCGCCTATGCACTGTAAGGGTTCGCTATACGTATATGATATGCATAACGGAACGCATCTCTATGGCCTTGCTATACACGAAATATATAGTTCCCCCCGAGTTAACACTGCAACCGCAAATTGTAGACGCTGTAAATAAGCCAGGCTCTGGCTAATGCGAATTCAGCCATGTTTAAACATCGGTATAGCCCAGCACGGTGCGGAAGGAGTGCCTAGACGTAAATGCATCAAGGTTACGTCGGTTGCGTTTAGGATGCAGGAAAATGCATGGAACTGAGAAAGTTTGACGTGTGGAGGTTCCAAAGTGCGCCAGGCTGTCCCCAGTGTATGTAGGTTAGTATCTGTAACGATAAGCCAACGCCACGTGGAGGAGATGACCGTGGAGGAGGACGCCCGAGGTGGGGACGGCGCAGCAGCGTGCCAGGATGCAGTATCCGTGGATCGTTGTGCAATTCGCTGGCTGTGTGTGTATATGCACCGAGGCGTCGTGACGTCACCGACGGCACGTGGCCCCCCACCTTCGGTCCTCGTCGGGACCCGTGGCCGTCGACGGAGTCGGGGAGGTGGCTACGCGGCACCAAGGCGGCCCTAAGGTCACCGCGGCCCTGACAACTGCACGCGCTGCATGCCACGTGGCATACAAGCATAACGTATCTACGATGCGAGTCGCGGTTGCATGTGCGTGCGATTTATTTCTATAATTGGCCGTAGCTCCCGACGTGACAAACGTTGCGACAGGATGGAAAGCTTTTATGTGACGACCTGGTCTAGGGACGTTTGCGGCGAACTAGCTCTGACATCGGATCACTCGGGGTGTGACCGATGATCAATTTTGGGTGCGCACTGAAAACCCTGCTGACTCTGACCTTCGTTAGAGGCTCGGGTGGAATTTCGAAGAATTCATATGCATCGGGATGCACTTTCGTTCTTCCGGTACAAGAGGCACTCGGGACGATTCCGATGGGTTATAACGGGATCCTCTTTTCGTTCACGGGTGTAGAAGGGAAATTGGGCTGTTTCTATGAGTGGCCGATCAAAGAAGAAGCCTTTCACTGGGTCGGCGAGTGGTGGTTTCTACGTAGTTACACCGAGAGAGATCGTCTTCCTTCCTTTATTTCTTTTTTTTTTTTTCTACGTTCCCACCATGGAGACGGAAAATAAATGTTTACGGCACTTACGGCGAAAGTTTCAGCCTTGCCGTTCCCTATTCTCGTCGAGTTGCTCATTTCGTACTTTTTAGTTTTCATGATAATCCATAAGTAGGACAAAAGTCACTTGAACGGCAGTGGGAATTGCATGGGAGAATGTATGCCGTCTCGGACACACTGCTCCTTGTCGCGTGGACCTCGGTCTTTGTTTATCGATCGTTTGACAGATCGCGGCTTGGATCGTATACGTCAAACTGTAATAACAGAGGCGTTCGACGGTCTTGCGTAGATCGTACGGTAAGATTTCTCCTATGGATCTTTGACCTGTTGGCACGGCGAAAAAGAAAAAAAAAAAGAGAGAAAGAAATAACCATGTACACCTCCGTGTCCTTCGTGCTGGCGAGAACCTTGGTCGAAGCTTCCACTCTTTAAAGGAGAAAACGAGATGCCGGGTCTCGCGTCGTAAACAGTGTTCGATTCGATTACGCGACTCCTCGCTCGTCGCTGTGTCGTTATGACACTGCAAACCGCGTTACGTAACCGGCCGCGTTACGTCACCACGTGCTTCGCTGCAATACCACGCTGCACATATTTCCGCGCCCGGCAACAGGGCAGGGCCAAGGTGACTGACGGACTTGCATGCATGCGTCCGTGCACGTGGTATCGGTGCGTCCATTTTGCTACCGAACGAATGATAAAAAAAAATAAAAGAAAAAAGAAAAACATAACAAGATTACAAAAAGAGAAACATAGTCAACCGCCAGAAATCAAGTAAAAAAAAAAAGGTAAAAAAAAAAGACAAAACAAAAAAAGAGCGAAAGAAACAAATCCCAATCAGACTCTCGTACGTCGTGGTATTCATGGAATTTTCTCAGCTGCTCTTACATACGTTCGATGTCCCGCGTGTAGCAACGCTAGTTACGGTAGTCGAGGTTCGACGCTCCCGCCATTCGCGAAATGTAGATTTCGCGAAACTGGCCCGGCACCGAGACGGCGCGGATCCATGTCGGGTTAACTTGGCTCGCGTTAGGTCGGGTTATGCAAAGATGAGCTCACTGTGCTGGCCTTGGCCAGCCGAGAAGCGGACTCTTATAAATACGCACGCGCCAGCTAAGCCAGGTAATTCGGCCCCGAGCAATGTATTCCGGGTGGTTTATTTTCGTCTAACCCTTCGTCACGCGGCTCTCCTCTTCCGAGGTTTTCGCAATTTTCCCTCTACGGGGAACCAACGCGAACGTCGTCAGCTTGGGTACCCTACACCAGCATGATCATGACCATCGCTTGGGTGCATCATTCCTGCACTTGTAGCACGTGGGACGCCCGTCGATCGGGACTCGACGCTGCTAACCTTCCACTATCACCAGGTCCAAGTATGGCCTCGTGCGAAGTGACTGCGAGAGAGAAGAACAATTCACAGCGTGGGCAGATGCGTGACGCTATTCGCTGGCCGTGACCAAAGTTGCGCAGATAGGAAACGCTTCTTGGCTCTCTAGCATCTGTCGCGACCTAACTTTTGCCCTATGGTGCTGTCTCGCTCTTTCTTCCTCGTTTCGCTACATCTTCGTCCAATACATCTCTGCGCATTCCCACTACGCGCTATCCTATGGACGCACACTCGATTCTGTCTCTATCGTCTATAGTGCCTTCGGTGTAAATATTTCTATCGTCACGTGGTATCGAGTCGATGCCGTTGCGTAACATATGATTCCCCTTTATTCTAGGTACACGATTATCGCATCGTAACCATTGCGCGTTGCCTTTGTATCTCCTTCTCTTTCCTCGCCCATACCACTCCGGACGTCTCGACGCTCGCGTCGCTCTACGTACATACCCGTCCGCATGATTTTTTACTACAGGACACCGCTTCGCGTCCTCTGTCCTACAGTTTTCTTGGCTATGACAAACAAGATTTTGTTTGATGTTGTTGTATCGTTGTCATAGCATTTCTATGGTGGTTTGTTGTTACTGTATATTGATATTGTTTCTAAACGATGCCAAAGCTTTGCAGCTGAATTGATATTGTTTATACATGACATCAAGGCGGATATGTATATTTAGTATAGAACGGTCGGTATTGTAGGTATCTGCAGTAGGCGTTGATACTCGTGTCACGGGTCGAAAAGACCCATGTTCGCGTCAATTGTGTACTACGAATTATTTACTCACGCGTTTTTCACGTGGATATTTTTAGGAATTAGAATTTTTTATTTTCTCAAAATTCAAGATCACACACGATATCAACCAGCGCGACTGTAGCGATTGATTGATATGCACAGAACCGTGCGATCGAATTGCTTCCATATCTCAATTTCATTGGATTCTGTTATCGCGTGTAATAAAATTGACGTATGAAGGTTATCAAGAGACGTCACTGAATATCCGCTCACTGTGTGTACCATGCTTGAAGCTTTGAGATCGTACCTTTTTTTTTTCACGATTCATTCCAATCGACCTAGACATTTTTTATCGTTCGAAAAAGATTGTCCAGTCTGTTACC